GAGTCAGTTTGATTTTTATATTTTTTTAAACTTAAATTTATATGTAAATTAAAGTGTATGTAAATTAAAGGTCCTTCCGAAGCGGGCGACGAGATTTCGATTTCGGTGACCAACAACTTTTTACGGGCAACTCCCCCAACTTTTTAGTGCCGACAATTGTGCTATGTCTGTAGTAATTCAGGTGAGGTGGATTCGGCCCATACAAAATGGGTGCTCTATGCCGCAGCTTGGAACGAGGTATTATACCAATATTATGCCTACACGATCCACGTGGCCCACAATTTCGCCGTATCCGATACAAAGCAACACAAATATGACTTCACACTCCTGTTGTCCACCTCCGTCTGACCATCTGTCTAGGGGTGATATGCAGCGCTCTTCTTAAGGACCTTTCCATGTAACTAAACAACTCTTTCTAGAAGTGACTGAGGAATACATTATCCTTATTTAATATAATCGATTCAGGTATTACGTGCACGCGAACAACTTCCCGTATGAATATCGTTGCCACTGAAACCACCGTGTAGGGGTATTGAAATGAATGAAGTGTGCATACTTGTTCAGGCCATCCATGAACTCTAGAATCACCGTAAACCCCACTGATCAGGGCAACCCCTCTATAAAATTCATGGTCACTTTCTCCCAAACCTTCTCAGGTAAGGCTAGGGGCTGTAGCAACCCTCTTGGCGCCATGGTCAAGTATGTGTGTCACTGACACACATCGCATCGTGCTATCGTGCCTTCTACATTTCTACGCATCCCCACCCCAGTAAAGCTTCGTCGATAGATGACTGCATGTCTTCTGTAACTCGTAATGTCGCCCAATTGCACTGCCGTGAAACCCTTGTAATAAATTGGGAATGTACTCCGATGTCCTCTGTAACACGAACCACCCTTGGTAAAGTGGTTACTCTCCCCTCATATAACAACTCTACTTGTATTTTCCTCAACCTTTCATCTTGCTCGCTCTCCCTTCTCGTTGCTTCCCAATAAGGACCAAATGTACCGATAAGGCTACCAACTGAGGCTCTTCCCCCTTCCTTGACAGGGCATCTTCGACTTTATTCTCCAACCCTGACGAGTACTGATTCTCGAAATCATAGCCCAACAACTTAGACAACCACCTCTGATGCTCCTCAGTCACCATCCTATTCTCTAACAGTTACTAAAAGTTCCTCTGAAGTGTTCTGAAAAGAATGTGTCGTCCCAACTGGTAGCCGACACTTCTGAATGGCAAATACAATAGCTATCAACTCCTGATCATAAATTGACTTGAGTTTTTCCCTAGCGGTGAGCCCTTGACTGAAGTAAGCAATCGACCACTAGTCCTGCATGAGTGCTGCTACCAATTCATACCCCAATGCATCTCTCTACCATAAATGGTCTACCGAAATCTGGAAGTGCTGTTACTGGTATATTAGCCTCTTTAGTTGTTCAAAGGTCTGTGTCGTGGCTTCCCCTTACTTGAAATTATCTTTCTTCTGCTGCCCCGTCAGTGGCCATGCTATTGTATTGTACCATTTCACAAATTTTCAGTAATACCATGTGAGACCTAGAAATTTCCTCAACTCCTTCAAGTTCCTGGGTAAATTCCATCCCAACATAGCCTCAGTCGTGGATGGGCCTGCAACTGCTCATGCCCTGGTCACCATATGCCCAAGGTACTCCACTATAGCCGTGCAAAAGAACATTTTTTCAAATTGGCATATAACTGGTGCTCCGTCACTTCTCCAATATTGTCCTCAGATGTTCCACATGCTATGTCTCTGTTCGACTGTAGACCAGAATGTCATCAAAGAAGACCAGATCAAATTTCTGGAGATAAGGTTGAAAATCCTATTCTTGAGGAACTGAAATGTGGCTGGACCGCTGGTGAGGCCAAAAAACATCACCAAGAACTCATAATATCCTTCATGTATTTTGAGCGTTGTCTTGTGCACATCCACTAGATTTAGCCTGATCTTGTGGTATCCCGAGTTAAGATCAATTCTTGAGAAAATGGCTGCCCCATAAAGCTCATCCAAGAACTCATCAATCACATGAATATGAAACTTATCCAACACTGTCTCCTTGCAAAATCTTCAACTACCATCTTTTTTCTTCACCAACAAGACTGGACTAGAAAAGAGACTCACACTAGGTCTCATAATTTTGGCCTCGAGCATCTCTCGGATCAACTTCTCTATCTCATTCTTCTGAACCTGAGAGTACCTATATGGTCTGATATTGATAGGAGGAATACCCTCCTTTAATGTAATAGCTTGTTCGTGCTCCGTTGGGGTTGGTAACCCGCTCGGTTGTTAAAAGTCGACTATAAACTGCTATATGAGCTGTTGGACCGCTCGCGAAAACTTTGTCAACTCTGGATCTTGAATCTCCCCAATGCTCTGCAACTCCACCAAGTTGGCTATCCCTGCTCCTTGTATCGACTTTACCGTGCTTTTGAGCGACACCATAATTTTGCATAACTAGCATCTCCTCTCAGCATCGCCTTCCCACCCTCCACTTGGAACTCCATCGTCTGGGATTTTCAATCGACCTTCATCCCCCCAAGCATTCACAACCACTTCATCCCCAAAATCACATATGTGTTGCCCAAATCTAAGGGAAGGAAGTTCTCCACCACCTGTAGGTCATGTAGTGTCAGAATCAACTTCTTACAAATCTCCCGACTTTTCTCTACTTTCTCTGTCCCCATCATGACACCTAAGCTCCATGTAGTCACCAACTCCAACCCTAGCTTCTCCACGACCTGGTTTCAGATAGAGTTCTGTGTGGCCCCGCTATCTACCAACACCACAATCGGCTGTTCATCGATCCCCCCACTTTCATGGTGTGATTCTGAGTAAATCCTACCACCGAATTGAGGGATGTCTCCATTAAATCTAAATGCAAATGCTCATCCTCCAACGCGTCATCCTTTGATTCCTCACTCTAAGTCTCCCCCTGAACTATAAGGATTTGAAGAGTGAGCTCCTTGCAACAGTGATCTGAGGTATATTTCTCGTCACATTGGTAACATAATTCTTTTGCGTTTGTATTCTGGGCTTATGCATTAGTGAGGTGCTTGAAATTTCCCCCAGGATGGACCCAAGTATTCTTCTCCTTCGGCGTCTTTCTGAAATGACATGGTCTGGGTCCTCGATGTCGTGGTTGTCAAGGCGCTCTTGTAGAATCCTCTAGTGTTTCCGCTTTTATTGGTATTTTTCACATGTTTCTTATCCTGCATCATCCGGGCGAGCTCCATCATTTTCCTCAATCCATCATTTTTCCCAATCAGAAGTCTCCACTCCCCCTCATCTCGTAGTCTTAGAGGTGCGCTCTTGGGCATTGATGATGTCTTCCTTGTTGTCCTATCGTTCGATTTTCTTCCTTTTTGACTTGATCAAGGATTCACTTATCAACCTTTGGTTATGATTTGCATCTGGAGCGATCAACATGACCTTGGATTGCATTTCCATGAGCTTTTTCATCATCTCATGCATTTCTCCTATGTTCTCGAATTCATCCTCCATTCAGTTTTCTATGAAAGAAAACTTGTCCTCCATGGTGGGGAACCATTCTTTCATTCCTGATTTGATTTGCCATACCTTTCCTTCCAGCACATCAACTTTCTTTTTTGCCACCCCTCCAAGATTTTTGCTTTGATACTAATTTGTATGATTCAGAACCAAAATCAACGAGTCAACAACAACGAAATTGTAATAAGTAAGTGGAAAAAACTTAAAAGGGGCTACACTTACAAAAATCAAAAGAAAATTATCGAAGATATAGAATGATCTACTGTTTGAGAGGTATATTGCTTTTCTCATAGCTGTAGAGGTCGTTAGGATCACTGCACGAAAAGAAAAAAAAATTGCAGCCAACACAAAACAACACATAAGAACAATCCCTTCCCTCCTTTTCCTCCTACATACTCCCCTACATCCTTTTCAAACTTTTTCTCCCCAAATCCCCTTTAATTCTTTTCTTGTATAAGTAAGCAATGGTCTCGAGGCTTCCGCCTGGGTGTTGGTATCGCGCTCAGTATCCTACGATAATCCTGTTCCTCCTAAACCGGCCACCCGTTGCTGTGGCTTGGACTGGCTTGAACCGGTTTGGCTGATTTGGAGAGAGGCGGCTCCGTATCATTTTGCCAATTAACTTCATCAAGTGGTTTGACCAATGGGCTCTACTGTAAAACGTTCACAGCTGTAGCCCGTATGTTTCTCTAATGGAATTCTTCCCATTTAAGTTATGAATCATAGGATATAGTTGATAGAGCATAATATCTTATGTAAATTAAGGTCAATTTTGATTAGTCCCCTTAGATAAACATCTACCTCAACTCATAGCTGCTGACAAAGATCATTCTGTCAGGTTGCGACTACCTCTTCTGATTAAATAAATCAAGAACTATGATAATCCATGATGATAGAATCATGAGATCTTGATCGGGTTCATCATCGTTTATAGATCATCATTTTTTAAGCACATGGTGATATATTTATAATTTTGATATTTACATTCGTTGCTATTATATGTTAAATTTAAATATTTAGCGCCTAATGATTGACCTTAATAAAAAATATTCTCTCGTTATCGAGAGGGATAATTAACCATAGGAGCTTGTGCTTATGGGAAATCTAGAATTCCGGATCTTAAAGTTCTGTTAAATGAGGGCAAAATCTTTGGGTAATGTCTTCTAACTTCTTAAACTTTGACCTAGAACCTCACAGTAAACTCCCCCATTCTCATTTCATTCTTCTTTTCGAGGGGGACCGGGGCATTTGAATTTTTGGAGCCCACAACATATAAGTATTAGCCATGTATCACAATTTTCATTCAAAAAACCTTGCGTGGACATGTTTTGATGCCTTACTTCGAGATGCGTATGTAAAGCTCTCACAGTTCAGGAGCTATCTGTATAAAGTTACCTGAACTGTCATGTAGAACTTGTTTTCTTCCTACGTTCTTTGTTGTCTATAACTTCTCAAGTATCAAGTTGATTCTATGCATAGGTCAACCAAAGAGACATCTACTGACCACTGGCTGGAGTGTATTTGTCAGCACAAAAAAACTTTTAGCTGGAGATTCCGTCGTTTTCATTCGGTATGCTAATTTACATAAATTTTGTTCTGTTTATACCAACATTCTTGAAAATTTTCAAATTATTGACTGTGATCGCTTATTGCAGAGATGAAAAATCACAACTTCTCTTGGGAATAAGGCGTGCCAAAAGGCAGCAACCAGCTTTTTCATCCTCTGTCCTCTCAAGCGATAGTATGCACATAGGAATTCTTGCTGCTGCTGCTCAGGCTGCTGCAAATAGTAGTCCATTTACAATCTTCTACAACCCAAGGTACTTCTGGTTATACCTGAGCACCTATGGTTATTAAGAACTTCATAACCTGATAAACTTTCATTTCTTTATGATAGAGCAAGCCCCTCCGAATTCATCATTCCTTTATCCAAATATAATAAGGCATTGTGCACACAAGTGTCCCTTGGCATGCGGTTCAGAATGATGTTTGAGACTGAGGAGTGCGGGGTACGACATTACATGGGAACAATCACAGGAATTAGCGACTTTGATCCTGTTCGGTGGAAAGCGTCGCAATGGCATAACATTGAGGTTAGAGTTTTTTTTTTATTTTTACCATGATTAGACTTCTTTAGCTTTTTAAAGAGAACATCATCAAAATAGTTCCTTTATAGGGTCATTTTAGTCCCAATGTCTATAAAAGAACCAACTTAGTCCACATAATCTTTTAATGGTGGCTACAATAGTCCTTCATGAGAACTATTTCAACCCATAATAAAAGTTTTTGAGGATTAATCTGACATTTTCATATATTATGGGAGTAAAAATTAGTCTAATGTACATAATCGGGGGACCATTTTGACACTTTGCTCTCTTTTTAATATCAATTCTTCCTTGAGCACTGTGTTAAAGCCGTAGTGAGGCTGGAAAGTGCTTATATGCTTACTTTACTGTGCTTTCATGCTCATAATGAACTGGCCCTAATTCTAACCTTTTGCTTGTCTCTAATTTTGCAATTATTAGGTTGGATGGGATGAATTAACAGCGGCGGATCGACCAACCCGGGTATCATTATGGGAGATTGAACCGGTTGCGACCCCATTCTACATATGCCCGCCTCCATTTTTTCGGCCTAAATTTCCTGAACAACCTGGGATGTCTGGTAATGTTTATTAATTTTAACACAAATAACGCATTCATTCTTTTCTTTTTTTTTTTGTCGTTCAAATCTTCTTCCTTTTTGACCATGCAACTTTTCAAAACTTGTAGGGCAGTCAGTTGACCATGCAACTTTTCAAAACTTGTAGGGCAGTCAGTTTGTCTTGAATTAACTCTAATTGCTGGGTATTCATTAAAGAGAAACTTTCATTTTTTTCAAATGTTTATAATGATGTTTATTCGCCTGCTTGCATTTTCTGTGTTTCTGTTGTAAATCATTCTTTTAAAGTGGACACCACCGAAGATTCGTATGCTATCGTTTTTTTTGTTTTGTAGTATTATAGTAGAGAAAATTTTAGTGTATATGAACTAAGCTAACCTTACCAGATTGATTAGGACTTGGCTAATGCTAATTAAACAAAATTGTGGTTGGTCCGCTTGTGGAGGTTTGAGCATCACGCTTCTATGCTACAAGTTCGTTGTGGAGTTATTAGAATTTTTATGTTACCATATTAAAATTATTTTTAATATTTATTTTAGAGCACTTTGGTTTTCATTATTATAAATTAATTTAATTATGAAGGATATTCTTCTTTGTAGTAAATTTTTATTATTCTTTTATCTTGCCTTCATATAATAATTTTGTATATTATCATTAATATGGATAAAATAAAGATCTTTTTTCGATTATGTCGATAAGGTATTAGAAGCAATGCTGTGAGTTGTCTTTGTTATGAAAAACGACGGCAATAAAGCGAAAAATGGAACGAAAAAAATTGTACGCAGAAAAAAACACCAGAGCGACACTCAAATTTACGTGGTTCGGCAAATTTGCCTACGTCCACGGAGCTGCAGAGGATTTTACTACTTCGAGGAATTACACCGTCGAGTGCTTCGACGTTTACAAGAAAATCTTTATTTTTTTCTCTCCCTTCCTCTCTCTCTCTCTCTCTTCCTTTCTTTCTCTTAGCTCTCAAGAGGACTTGACTTGGTCTTGCTTGGCTTTGCTTGGCTTGGCTTCTTCTTTAAGCTGAAAGAGACTATTTATAGAAATCATGAGAGCGATAGGTGAGAGGTAGGTGAGCGGTAGGTGGGATGTGGTAGGTGGGATGTAGGTGAGATTCTTAATTAGGAAACTAATTAAATTTCGGTGGACCGGGTTTTCACATCATCCAACAATTCTTCCACTTGGAGATTGGGACACTGACCGCATCTGGTTGCGTCATCTACTTGTTGTATCGACCTTTTCCTCAAACATGATATCCTCCACCTCTGCAACTCGAAGCCCCTGTCTTCATGCCAGAAGACCAGCTGAAGTCGAGCACAACTTCAGCTTCTCACGAGTAACACCCTCAGTTGACATATCACCGTCAACGTAGCCTTGTACCACCAAGCTCTTTCTTGGGTTACTCATATATCTGTTTACAACTCTCATTGCATGAGCAATATCCTGCCCCTGCTGAAAGCCCTTTTCAACAAGTCCAACCTTGTACCTCTTACTACCACCAAACACAGTCTTCACCCGGTACACCCATTTGTTGTGCAATGCCTTCTTCATTGGTGGAAGTTCTGCCAGCTCCAAGTCTGATTCTCTGGCAGGGAATCCGTCTCCTTCTTGGTCAGCTCCCACTTGCTCGAATTCTTATCTTGCAAGATTTCTTCATAACTTTGTGTTTCTCTATCATTTGTCTGTACAAAGTCTGGTTTTCATGCCTTTGGCACTGACACTTTTCAGGAAATTGGCATTTTTCTAGAAATTGGCATTTGTCTACTTCCCCATAATGCACCTCTGACTCATGTGTCCTTGCCTAAGTAAACTTGTAGTCATATATAGTGTGTCATTTTTCTTACCCCGAGTCATTACTAATGCTCCTTTAGTAACCTTCCAGGTGCTATCTGAGAACACCACTGAATGACCACCCTCATTGAACTGCCCAACAGAGATGAGGTTTTTCTTCAACTCAGGAACGTGTCTGATCTTTTACAAAGTCCATTTGCTCTTGTTAGGGAGTTCAATATCAATATCTCCCATCCCTACCACGTCCAGAGCTTTTCCATCAGCCAGATGTACCTTCCCAAAGTTACCTGCAACATAATTTCGCGTTAACTCCCGACGAGAAGATGTATGGAAGGAAGCCCCCGAATCCAATATCCAGTCACCAACAGAATTGTGAACTGCCACAAATAGTGCATCCTGTATTTCTTCAGTTACAACATTAGCATCATCATTCTCCTTCTTTTTAGGATTCCTGCAGTTTCTTTTTATGTGGCTAGCCTTGCCACAATTTCAGCAGGTTGACTGCTGACCTGACTTTGATTTTAATCTTCCACGGTTTGAGATTCTGTCTTGTGATCTCCCTCTGGAATCAACAATCAGTATTGAATTCGAACCCGAGGTCTCTCCAGAATCTTTCCTGCGCACTTCCTCAGTCAAAATCAAATTACGAATATCATCATATTTCAGCTTAGATTTACATGCATAACTGCTAACTGTCATCCTCATGGCTTCCCAGCTATTTGACAATTATGCCAACAATATCAGTGCACGTATCTCATCATCAAAATCAATTTCAACAGACGACAACTGATTTGTGATAGTGTTGAAATCATTCAGGTGTTGAACAACAGACACACATTCCGCCATCTTCATGTTGAATAACTTTTTCATTAGATGCACCTTGTTATTCGTCGATGACTTTTCATACATATCTGATAAAGCCTTCATGAGATCTGCAGTAGTCCTCTCTTTGATGACGTTGTAGGCAACCGATCTCGACAGGGTTAATCGTATAACCCCCAAAACTTGTCGATCCAACAGATTTCATTCCGCCTCGTCCATCTTTTCTGGTCGCTTTCCCGATAACGGATGATTAAGTTTCTTCTCATAGAGGTAGTCCTCTATCTGCATCCTCCTTTAAGCAAAATTTGTGTCATTGAACTTCTCGGTCCCCGATATCATCACTTCGTCTCCGTCCATCGTTCTTTCTTAGATTCGAACTTAAGGCTCTGATACCAGTTGTTACAGTTGTTATGAAAAACGACGGCAATAAAGCGAAAAATGGAAAGAAAAAAATTGCACGTAGAAAAAAACACTAGAGCGACACAGATTTACGTGGTTCGACAAATTTGCCTACGTCCACGGAGCTGTAGAGGATTTTACTACTTTGAGGAATTACATCGTCGAGCGCCTCAAGGTTTACAAGAAAATCTCTATTTTCTTCTCTCCCTTCCTCTCTCTCTCTCTCTCTTCCTTTCTTTCTCTTAGCTCTGAAGAGGACTTGGCTTTGTCTTTGCTTGGCTTGCTTAGCTTTGCTTGGCTTGACTTCTCCTTTAAGCCGAAAGAGACTATTTATAGAAACAATGAGAGCGGTAGGTGGGAGTTAGATGAGCGGTGTCGGCGCTTAAAAGGGGAAAAGAGTTTAATGT